GAGAAGGCAATATAATTAGTAAGGACCAGAAGTATGGAGGAAAGCTGCTTTCTGCATTTTAGAAATCTTTGGTAGCACATGCAGTCCTCCCCAGCACTTGATGTACATGATTTAGTGGAGGCAACCAAGGTACATCTTAGCTTTATATCTAGGTAATGTGACAAGTTAGAGAAGAGCAGGAGAACATAAATGTTCATGGGAGTGTTAGAAATCTTTGGCTGGGATTGCCACAGTTTTTGGAATTTATGGATTCTGGAGAGTTCCCTCGAGGAGGAAGCCTCTCTTTGAGAGGCTTTCTGCACTGAGGGAAACATGTTTCCTTTGTGTAATTTCTGCACATTTCTTCCTTTATGGTTTTCCCTAAGTTAAAGCAGGTTTGTACCAACCATTTCAGAAAAAAATTATCTCAAAGGAAAAAAAATCTCAAATTTGTTAGTGTTGTTTTTCTTTCCACGTGTGTATGTGTGTGTGTGTCTGTGTGTCTCTGTGTGTATCTGTTTCTGTGTGTTTAGGAAAACAGCATAAGAGGCAGGATGGTAAAATGGTTCTAATTTAAAAACATCCCAGGCACCTTGAATCATGTCTACAAATCTGTATTAGCTTAGACAGATACATCAAAACACCATAGAGTAAGTGGCTAAATAACAAATTTATTCCTCTCGCTTCTGGAGGCTGCAAGTCTGGAGTCAAGGTGCCAGCATGGTTGGACTCTGGGAAAGCTCTCTTCATGGCTGGACAAAACTTCGTGCATGAATCCAGAAAACAAGAGCCCTCATGCCTCCTTTAAAGGACATTACTTTTATTAGCCTAAGTTTCTACCCTCATAAGCACATTTACCCTCACTTACTACCATAAACGGCCTATCTCCAAGTACAACTTGGGGCCTGAATTTCAACATATAAATTTAGTCCCTAGCAAAGGCAAAACCTTGGTTACTGCCTAGCGGGCCACATGGGGGCACTGTGGCACCATGGAGCTCCAAGTGTCTCTGGGCAGGAGCCACAGAGTCAGAAGTCAGGTTATGGAGACTTGAGAAGAGCCTTGTTTAATACTTTTATCCACCAGAAATTTGATGACATATTATTTTTTTCCTTTTTAAAAAATTTATTTTTATTGTTGTGCTGGGTGGAGGTACATTGTGGCATTTACAAAAAGTTCTCACCATATATCAAATATATCATACTTGAATTCACCCCCTCCACCATTTTCCTTTACCCCTCCCCATCCTTGGAATAGTTTCAACAGGTCTTAGTTTTCCATTTACATACACGTGTACACAGTATTTCCACTATGTTCAACCTCCCATACCCTCCCCCCGCCACGGGTACCCACCCCCTGAGGCAGGACCTGTAATGGCATATCATTATACACGAATTTACAGGTCTGCTACTCTATGCAGAGTAGCATATAAACTTCAGCTATGCAGTGGTTAATGGGATCTCTTTGAGCTTACAAAAGAGAACAAAGAGTTGGTGCTGTGATGGGACAGCCTGTATGCCCTGGATAGGGACAAAGGGACAAAAAACTCTCTCTAAGATGAAGCAAAGTAGCTGTGGCATAGACACATGGCCAAAACCGGCCAAGCCTTGAGCAGTCCACTCTAACCCCATATGCTATATGAGAGACATTCTGAGAGGCAAGCTGGGGCACTGACTTGACAAGAGGGGTAGGGTACTAGGGAATCCGTAGAGCCCATGACATCAGAGCAGTTTCCTCACAGGCTCATATCCAATAAGAGGAGAGCTGCCTAGAACTTAGGAGACCATAAGCCTGGGCAGGACAACACCTGCCTAATTGTGTCCCACTGTGGCCGTGGACTCCAGCCTTCTCTGGTGCATAGTAATTTGCTTCCTAAGAGCAGGTGAGTCCTTCAGACAAGGAAAACCTGTTCAATCTGAACTTGCCAACTCCCGAATCCTCTAATTTCCCCAGGTGATGCATCTCTGGGGCTCCTCTTGAATTCATTCTCCATCTGCTTCTCCCATAGGCCCATCAGAAGCTGAAGTCACCCAAACTCCAAGACACCTGATCAAACTGAGAGGACAGAAAGTGACATCGAGATGTTCCCCTTTCTCTGGGCACTCCACTGTGTACTGGTGCCAAAAAGCCCCTGGTCAGGGCCCCAGCTCCTCTTTGGGTATTATAATGAATTAGAGCAGTCAAAAAGAAATGTCCCCCATCGATTTTCAGCTCAGCAGTTCCATGACTATCGCTCTAGGCTGAGCTTCAGCGCCTTGGAGCTAGGGGACACTGGCACATATCTCTGTGCCAGCAGTTTGGCACAGCCCTGAAGAGTCACCAATGTTCTGTGCACAAACTTCCTGCCCAGCTGAGACCTGACATACCTGTGAGGTCTTAGGGATAGCAGGGAGAAAGGGCAATGATCACAGGTCACAGTAAAGTGCAGCTTGAGCTTTCCTGACATTCAGGGCAGGGCTATGAATGCTAAGAGACTCTTTCCAGATGTGGTCCTTAAGTGAGTTCTCCCTCAAATCACATTCTCTGCTGTACACTATATAACACAGGGGAAGAGGAATATTCTCTTTTATGGGCAGGACATTTCATTCTGATGTCTAGTTTATATTATAATAGGGGATTGAAAATGATAAAATAAAAAAGATTCACTTTATATATAAAGCAGAAGAAGTTGAAATCAAGGGGAGAGAGGATGAGAAACCTGGTTGAAAACAGAGGTAGAGATTCAGGATGACTAAAAGTGGTATTGTATAAAACATGAGCTCTTTTATGACCCCTTGCAAAGTCTTAACACCCAGAAATACAGCACAAAATCTTGTGGCAACTGGTGCCATCTGGCAGTCTTTCTTAGCTTAGAACATCATCAATACCTGAGGTATTGATGGCATTTTCTTCTTGGTGTCTGATCCTATTCTTATTTTCTCATGGCATAATGAGGTTACTTCCCCAAACACAGGAGGTCTTATCACCCTGCTAATAAATAGACAAACACCATTCAGTTGGTATAAGATAAGTACTGGTTCCCTAGGTAGTGTTCTGACACTCAATGCCCATATCCAAATACCTTCTGTGACCAAACAACTCTTCCCAACGTGACACAAGACTCAGTAGCCCCTGTGTTTCTTGCTTTTTCCAGGGTCTGAAAGCACCCTCTCCTTCCCAGACTTGACAGACATTGTATAGTGAACAAGGCCTGATTCCCTTCTGCCTTCCTCTTCCTTTCTTATCTGACATCCCCAACACTGGATGGCATTTCTCTCTGGCCTTAATTTCCAGAGGAAAAATATATAATTTACACTGATGTTCATGAAATGAAAATTTTAATACCCATGTATATGAACCCCTGACAGGCTATTTATCATTTTATTTCTCACACAACTCCTCTTAACTGAAAAATAGTCATTATGGGTAATCTTGGTTTTCTATACAACTTCTGCAATAGTCGGAGCAATTGTAATTTTACAGTTGGACTAATGACCAGTACTGTGACGTCCCACAACTGTATTGAAGCTGGAATTTGTTCATCTGGAACAAAGAAAATTATGTTTTAGTTATATTCATACAGCCAATTATCCTGTAGCAAAGAAATTCCTCACTACCACCACACTTTTCCAAAACCCCTTCCTTAGGGACCTGATGCTGTTGGAATACCATCAAGGCATCCCAGAAATTAGCATAAAAAGTCTAGGAAAGTATTAGCTATGTTCTGTCATAAATCTTATCTTTCTTGCCAATTAGAAGCCATTGTGGGCCTGAGAGTGTGAGTTTGTATGTGTGAATGTGTTTTCTTTTGTCCACCGGGAAACACGTTCCCTCTAGCGGTATTACTAAGAGGCTCTGGTCATTAGTGACAGCTCATAGTCTCATCCGGGTAGTGACAATGAATTCAGTCCTGACTAAATCTGTCTTAGTGATCTCTTAGTAAACTATTAGTATAGGTTTTTACTTCATGAGTTTATAAATTTTGAGACAATCTTTCAAATCTAGAAACCCTCTTAAAAAGTGCACTGACATTTGGTAAGGGTTAATTTAGATGCAAAATTTCAAAAGACACAAGTTTGTTTAATCACAAGGAGCTTATGGGATATAGTGTTTCCAGCTGGATCTTCTTGAGATCATCACACTGTTGATTTTTATGGTCTGTATTATTCTTGTTTACTTCATTAATTTTAGCAACTCCAGTAGAGTAACATTAGTTTTTAATCACAACGTTGGTCCATTTAATTTTTTGCCTGCATAGTAAAAAATTGATGGATTTGAACACCAACCCTAAATCAACCAGGCTGGGAAAGCAGAAGAATGGAAGTGTGTGTGAGAGTGCAGAAGGTGTGGAATGCTGTTCCTTATTCAATCAGGCAGGTGTACATATCTCAGAAGGCTGGACTCCGCTAACAGTGGACAAATGACCACATGGGGGCACTATGTCCCCACAGTGGGGAGGAAGTTCTGGAGGGGTTGGGAAGTAACCAGGAGAATAGGGCTGAAGGGAATGTTAGGCTGCCTGCTGGGATCAGGGAAGTGGTTTGGGTTTGAATCCACTGAGTGTGTCCTGGACATTTGGGGTTAAACACAGACTGGTAACTGTGTGTGCAGGAAACTGTAGAGGTGCTATGGGATGCATTGTGCACCAAGGAAGGAGTGAGTTTCTCTGCTCCTGCCTGAGCAATAGAGGGTGAAGGGCTGAAGAAATGAGGGCAAGGAATCAGGCTAGGACATGCCCAGGGGCAGGCAGGGATGAAGCCAGAATGGAAGGATATAAGGTGTTACTGTAGGGTATATGGAGAGAACACTCACTTTGACCCACCAACGGTTTAGGGGCTATATAAGGTCTGAAGATTCATGGACTATAGCCTGGGTCCTGCTATAGGGTGCAGTAGGCTGGGTGGACTTCAGGAGGGTAATGACAGAGCATGGCATCTGCACCTACCAGGGAGGTCAGAGTTTAGAACTTGAGAATACTTACCCCACGAAGTCCCACCCCTGAACGGAAGGAAGAGATGCCATCTTGGGTTCCTTATACTGCCATGGGCACTAAACTGCTCTGGTGGGTGGCCCTTTGTCTTCTGGGAACAGGTGAGTCCTGGGCACAGCTTAAAAAATATGAACTTTGTTTTTCATCCCTGAAATACAAGTCAGCCAGAGAAGGCTTTCTCCTGTACTCTGTCCTTAGCTTCTGTCTCCTGACCCATAGGCTTGGCGGATTCTGGAGTCACCCAAACCCCAAAATATCTGATCAAAGCCAAAGGACAACAAGTGACACTGAGATGTTCCCCAATCTCTGGACATTTCTCTGTATCCTGGTACCAACAGACCCTGGTCCATGGTCTCCAGTTCCTCTTTGAATATTACTATGGGGCACAGAGAGAAAAAGGAAATGTCACTGATCGATTCTCAGCACAACAGTTCAACAACTACAGCTCTGAACTCAGTCTGAAATCCTTGGAGCTGGGGGACTCAGCACTGTTTCTGTGTGCCAGCAGCATGGCACAGACTGGCATGATCATCAGCTTTCTGCACAAAAACATTCCTGCCCCTGCTCAAGAGGGCAAGGCTGCCAGATCTGCTCAGGCCCTGGGAAGGTGACAGGCCTTCCCCAGACACTTGTTTCTGCTTATGTCTGTGATCTGCTTAATGTTCAATGAATTCATGCAAGGTGGCATTTTTCCTTCAGTATCTCCCTCTAATACCTGTCCTCCCCCTCATCCTTCCCTCAGTAGATCTGTCCCCTTACCTCCTCTTTCCCAGGTCCTGATTAATAGAGTGGAATGGTCATGCATCATATGTGATCATTATAATCTCATTCTTGTCAAGTCCAAGTAATGTATGACTTCAAGGCAAAGCATATTCATGTTTTTTAAAGGCATGGTTTCCTGCACTGTGTGTGGTCACCTTGCTGTGGTATAGATGAGGTGATGTAATCTCTTTCCTGGAGGTCATATGAGTATTCAGATTCCCCAGGAGTGGAGCAAAGGGATGGGGACATTTCCTGGAGAAAGTGTAGGCTTCCTGTGCATGATACAATCTGCCATAAGGGACAATCATAGTTACTCATTTATTTAGTTTATTCTTTTATTCCACAAATATTTTAGATTCCCCTACTTTGCACAAGTCATTGTTCACAGAAGATAAAACATGGAGGACCAAGGATAATAAATTTCAAAAAAAATAAGTCAATAGAAAAAAATGAATAAAAATTATGATTTGTGCTTATCCAGCAAAAGAAAGTATCTTTTACTTGGTTCTAAATTATACAAATTTTATTTTTTATTCTTTTTCTCTCTTTGGCCAACTATCCCCTTTGTAAGCTTTAAAAGTTTTTATTTGAATTGTGACAAGAACACTTAAATAAGATCTAGTTGCTTTAGAAACTTTAAAAAAAAGTAATATTTAAAAAATTTTACAAATAATGCATTTTATAATGAAATTTTCATACATATGCATAATGTACTTTGACCATATTTACCCCATGGTAAGCATTCTTCTTTCTCATCCTCCTGCCCCTTTCTGCTTGCTGCCTTCCTCTTTCCAAACAGTCCCACTTCTATTTTAATGCTATTTTATTTTCATCTAGATCTCCTAACAGATCTGCAGTCTTGTTTCATGTGCAGGCATGAGGCTTCACAGCAGATCTCTAGCTTGATGCCCCTTTGACAGCAGCTCTGCATTTTCCTACCTGCCAGCTCTGGGTGACCACCATTCTGTTCTCAAATTCCAAGGGTTCGTCTACTGCAGGTATATTATGTAAGTGGAATCCTGTAGTAGATGTCTTCTTGTGACTGGCTTATTTCAATTAACATACTTTCCTTCAAGGTCATGGAATTAGGATGTATGGCAGAATCTCCTTCCTTTGTGAGACTTCATAATATTCCATTTCAGTTACATACTATGTCTAAGATGTGCAGTGCCATGTGTATGACATTTGACTTCCTGTGAAGGCTGTGCATCACACTAGTGGCAGAATCAACTGCAGAATTGCAAGCATTGAGTCCTTCAATGTATATTCAAATTTATTTTTGCTCCATGGAGAAGACTCAAAAAATAATAATGTCCTCATTTATTGACAGCTTACTGCATACAAAATAAAATCCTTCATTTATAAAATTTCATTTAACCAGAAATTGTATTATCAGAGAAAAAAATTAAGAAGCAAATGCTATTTTTTGGTTCATATTTTACAGAATAAGCAATATTAAGAATAGGGAATTGCCCTATAAATTAAATTGACCAAATCAGATATTAAGAGGCAGATATTAAGATATTAAAAGGCAGAACTGCAACTCAAGCACTGGTCCAAGTCCTGTTTATAAGTCTGTGCTGCGATGCAGTTTCATAAAAGATAGCTGCCATTAAAATGAGAAGGTTGCCACTTTCATCCCTCTCAGACCTGCTGACACTACGAAATCACTAATAGAAATTGGTTTACCCAGGAGGTAGATATGTAGGCAAAAAGATCTGCATAGGTCCATGTACACCTGGCTCTAAATCCCAGTGCAACACTCTCTCGTGAAGATTGAGATCCGATTGTCAATATGTCAGCTGAGTTTTCTGTTTTTATATATGAAATGAGGTTAACAATACCTGTATTGGTCAGAGTTCTCCAGAGAAGCTAACAAATAAAATAAATCTGTCTGTCTATCCATCTATCATCTATTTGTCTATCTGTCTACCTATCTATCTCATCTACTATCTATTTATCTATCATCTATCATCTATCTATCTATCTATCTATCTCATCTACTATCTATTTATCTATCATCTATCTATCTATCTATCATCTAATCACTTACTATCTATCTCTTTTATGAGGATTTAGCTGATGCAATTATGGATTCTGGTAAATTCAAAATCTGTTGGGTAAGTTTGTGATGCTGGGGAGCCAGGGAGATCTGGAGTTCCATGTTGAAGGCTGTCAGCTGGAAAGTTCTCTCTTATCTGGGAGAACGTTGGTCTTTCTGTTCTAGTCACACTTCACATGATCAGATGAAGCCCATCCTTGTTATAAAGGATAATCTGCTTTATTTATTGAATTGTTAGTTTAGTATACTGTTTAATTCTACAGATTTAAATCTTTATTTCATCAGAAAACATCCTCACAAAATACTCAGACTATTTTCTGACAAAATTATGTGAGCATTCGTGGTTCAGTCAAATTGATAAATAAAATTAACCATAATACATCTTCAGAAATGTATGAAAATTAATTAGCATAAAATAGTTAGTACAAAGTAGGAATCCAGATATCTTGTCTATCTTTGCTAATCACAGACATCCAAGGATTTAATAGGGTTATATAAATTAAGCAAATTATAAAAGGATGTTGGAAGTAGAATTTGAGACACACAGTCAAAAGCCACCAGGAAGCCATCAGGATTTTGCCTAAGATTCCAGAAGGCAAAAATATTTGGACAAGTAAAACAAGTGTATTAATAAGGAATTATATCATCACAGGAATATAACATACACAGAGTTCATGCTATTATACAAAAAAGATCAAAAAGAACTTGCATCAATTCATACAAATGCATTCTACTCTGTCCCACTGGCTTTTGCATTTTTCTTAGATTTGAGTCTCTGGGGAATGGGTGTGGTCTTTCGTGGTGACAGGAAGCTTCTAGGGCCCAAGCAGGGAGAATGAGAATTCAGAATGACTTTCTGGAGAACCCCTGTTCCTCTTTGCCCAACTCAGGGATCCAGAAGTCCTTTTTGATCTTCCTGGCCCTGCCATGAGCGTCAGCTTCTTGTTCTATGTGGCTGTTAGTCTCCTGCAAGTGGGTCAATCCAGAGAAGGCTCCAGAGTGGGATTCCAGGGTCCTAACAACAAGTGTTTCCACAGTGGCTGCAGCATTAGTTTATTCTCTCTTTCTCTACAGGTACAGCAGATGCAGGCATCACTCAGACCCTCAAATGTCAGGTCAGGAAGACAGGACAGTGCATGACAATGGAATGTTTCCAGGATATGAACCATGACAGCATTTTCTGGTATCGACAGGATCCAGGACTGGGACTGAGGCTGCTCTACTATTTATATGGTGTGAGAAGCACTGAAAAGGAGACATTCCCGATGAGTATAGTGTCTCGAGACCAAGCACAGAGCACTTCTCCCTCACTCTGGAGTTGGCCACCCTTCCCAGACATCTGTGTACTCTGTGCCAGCAGTTCTCCACAGTGATGCATGGCTGCCTTCCTTTGCACATAAAGGCTGGGGAGGAGGCACCTGACTTCTAAAATTCTGTGACACCCTGGGCAGAGTTCTCAGTACTGAAAGCCTTGGATCTCTGAGGAGCCCAAGTAGTGTAAACCTCATTTAGTCTGTGCCAAGTTATGTCTGTTGACCATCCTAACCAGGCTTGACCTGACCTTGGTACAGATGTCTCTACTATTGTTATCTTATCTTCCTCCTAGGCTGTCTCATCGGAGTGGGGGTAATGCTTCCTTATCATTGACTTTACTATTCATGGGCTTGAGTCTAAGTGTAAGTCTAAGATGCGATGTAGTACTTAATTCGTATTTGTCTAGAATATCTTTCTCTCCCTGGCACTCTGATGTCTTCTGTCTCTTGGGTTATTTACGTAGCCCTTCCTTCATGTGATTTTTGCTACTTCTTGCCTTTCCTATATGGAACTCCCAGAGCCATGCTGAGTTTTTTCTCTTCCAAATTCTGTGGCTGTCTCAACGCCAGCTTCAACCCAGCCAGTCCTTTCCATTGCAGAGTTTCCAAACATAACTCCTCTGTCCTGGACATGAAGTCTTCCTTTTCATAGAGTTTAATCTCTACCTGGGCTTCAGATCTCAACAAAATCCACTCCTTCTGAGGGAAGCACCTACCTGCTGAGTCAATTTCCCTCATATATTTATGTGCATGTTAGTAGAATTTAACACAGTTGGAATACCAAAAATGGTCTGATGATTTTTCACCCTAACTAGATTTTAACCTCCTTGAAAGCAGAGTCTATGACTTTTCTCTTACTCACAGCAGTCCCTTAACCATAGAGAGCACCAATTTCACAATTCAGTGTATTACTGCCTTAATGGATGGAGGAACCACCAACAGAATCACTCTAGATCTCATTTTACCCTCTCGTAGATCTATGATTAACTATGACAACTAATATCCCTATGATTGCTGGGCTACAGTGGGGCTTGGAGAAATGGGCACTCTTTCTTCTCTCTGGCAAGACATGGATCAAGGCTTTCTATTGTCACTGCAGCACTAAACTTCCTTGGGTGTCTGTTTCTACTTCAGACTCTTCCTCCACAAGACAGCTAGTCAGATCAGAGAGGTACTTCCAGAATGCTATCATTAAAGTTTTCTTTTCTCGAAACCACTTCTGGTGCCAGTAACACTAGTTTCCATCAATGAAACAGAGCCACTAGAAGAATAATCATAGCTCTTTCAAATATGAGAAGAGTTAGTAGTCCAGAGGGAGAAGCTGAAGGTCAGAGAGGGAGCTGGTATCCAAGACTTGTGAGCTCTGGTGTGGTGCACACAATGGAATTGCAGGGAAATCAGGGGATCAGGGTGAGCCTAGATACTAGGTGATACCTTGAACTGGAGAAGTCCAAGGAAACTCACTTCTTGGGAA